CCTACTTCCGTAGTGATACTGCCTCGGAAACCCAAGGAGGGGTCGCTATGAGTCGGGGCCGACTCGATGGCACATAACAACAACAACAACAATCTTTATGGATTATGGAAGGAAGGCTGGGCAATCCTACTTCCGTAGTGATACTGCCTCGGAAGCCCAAGGAGGGGTCGCTATGAATCGGGGCTGACTCGACAGCAAATAACAACAACAACAACAATCTTTATGGAAGCAGACTGCCACATCTTTCTCCCAGGAGCAGCTGGTGGGTTCAAATTGCCAACCTTTTGGTTAGCAGCTGGGTGCTGAACCACTACACAACCTGGACTCCCTGGAACAAATGTACAATGCAACAATGCCTAAGAGAGAAACTTGGGGATTAGGTGTGATATGTTTACCAAAAGAGAGTCTTTGCCCTCCTTACTGTTAGTGATATCCAGGGAAGGCGTCAATGTGGGGCATGTAGCTGGGTAGAGAATCCCACAGTTCTGTGGGCACAGGTTCTCTCCTGCCTGCAGGGTGCATGCAGTCTGGTTGCTTCTAAGAGAAGCATGCATACATGAGAAGCCACTGCAGAGTGCATGCCTCCTCAAGTTTCCAAATATTGAGAACTGTGTTAGCTGTGCAGTAAAATCACTGTATTGATCATAAACCAACACAGAAATATTTTTTATTTCAGTCTTATCTTTCAAATCCTGTTCATACACACTATTTAATTGGATCCTCATTATTATTTGGTCTATTTATAAGATAATTAGACATTTCAGACTTACCAAGCATTACACATAGGGGGATTGCAACGGAAAGTCTCCACATCTGTGGATATGACTTTGCGCAGAGACTTTTCTCAGCAGTGGTAAAAGTTTAAGCATTTATTGAAGGTGTACTGTGTTTCAATGCACTGAATTAAGCACTTTATTTACATAACATTATCTTATTTATTCCTTAACATAACCCTATGAGAGAGGTATTACTAAAAAAAACTTGTTTTACAGATGAGAAAATTGAGAAAATTGAGACTCAAGTTATTTGATTTCCCAAGTTCCCTCTAGTAAGTGAAAGAGGCAGGATTTGAACCAGGTGGTCCAGTTACTTGTTGTTGTTGTTGTTGTTGTTCTGTGCCATCGAGTCAGACCCGACTTATAGCGACCCCTCCCTGGGTTTCCAAGGCAGTATCACTACGGAAGTAGATTGCCCAACCTTCCTTCCGAGGAGTGGCTGGTGGGTTTGAACCGCCAGCCTTCTGGTTAGCA